ATTTTACTTTAACTAAAGCGATATCATTGGCGTAGGTTAACGTACTAAACTGCTCATGGATGAACAATTTATCCAATTGGTACACATATTCGTCACCCTTTTCCCAATTGGTTGCGCCGACCATCGCTCGGATCTTATTAAATGAATGCTTACTCCTATAATTAAAACAAAAATCAGTATAAATTTTCAACCATAATGTAAAATATTGAAACCCATGAAAACAGTGGGCGGCAGACAATAGCCATCGTTGGTTTAGGACAGAACCGCCGCAAAAGTGGGTATAAGTAGATCGGCTTAGCTTCTGGAACGACACCATCCATGGGTACTGTTTTATGTCCACTTTAACGCCTCCAACAATCCTCGGGGATATACCACTGGTTTGGCCACAATTTGGCAAATTAACCTTATTTGATGTCTTTCTATTGATATGATATGAAAATCAATTGTTTGATTCATAATGTCTTAATCCGTGACATTATGTATTTAATATGTATTTTATAAAAATATTAAATACTTATCACTTAGTTTTAAATAGATATCCTGACTCTCGGTTGTATTGTATTGAGAAGTTGTGTCATTGTTTTCGGTTAACGCTATAAATAATTATTAAAATATCAATATTTAATTATATAATCAATTATTTCCAAGTTTTTATATATTAAACTAATGGTTAAATTTATTAGTTGTGATTACCACTGAAAATGTTTAATAATAATAGTATTATTACCAATGGATAAAACATTGTAAATTATTACACATATTTTTAATTAGCAACATTTTCTGATACCCAATAAATAAGGTTAGAGCTGTGTTTATATAAATAACATGTCTATTTTGTTAATTATAAACTCGTTTATTAAACATTTAAATATATAATTAATAAATTTTATTTAATCATTCTCAGTGGAATTTCCCATTAAACAGTAAACCTTTAACATACCATTTTTAACGTATTTTAACATTACGTAATATACAATTTAAGGTTTTATAATTAAACTATCAATTATATTAATATTTATATCATTTACTTTAATAAATAACTGTAAAGTTTGACATAATAAATTTATTTAATATTATTTAGTTGTATTTAATATTAATTACAATCAAAATTAAAAAGGCATATATTATAAATATTGTTACATTTTAAAATTAATATTCTCTTCAAATTTTACTCAACTTTAAACAAAAGAAAATATTTATTTTTTTTGACCAAATATTAACTTTATTATTAAATTTTAATTACAAAATTCGCATATAATTCTACTAAGGATTGGCCTTGATAGTTTTCTCAATCCAAGGATAAAATTTGGCCACTTCTTGGTATATACCGGGTGTTTTAGGTCGAGCGCAGCCGTGACCAAAAGATACCACTCCTAATTGAGTTCCCTTTCTATTCATGTTGCCTTGATAGTTTTCTCAATCCAAGGATAAAATTTGGCCACTTCTTGGTATATACCGGGTGTTTTAGGTCGAGCGCAGCCGTGACCAAAAGATACCACTCCTAATTGAGTTCCCTTTCTATTCATGTCAATCACATTTCATTAAACAAATACAATCAATACAATCCTTACAATCCTTACAAACCTTTTAATTGTTTGCGTCAGTGGACCGCCGGAGTCACCCTTTAATATACATTTAAATTGTTAATCAAATTAGGATTTAAATCAAAGTTTAGCCATGTGTAACAATGTATAAATGTAACAAAAGTATCCACATGTAAACATACCTTACAGGCGTCTTTGCCGGGAGACAAATAGCAAAACATTTCGGGTGTAAAATTGCCGACAAATTCTGTGTAAACTTTATTACACTCTTTAGTGTCAAATTTATTAACCGTTACTTTCATTAGATCAGCGCTCGGGTCTCCCTCTTCCTTGAGATAACCCCAGCCATAGACTGTGGCCGTATCGGTGGGATTGACATCGGGTGTGGGCACACATACACTGTTCACCGTGTAATGAGTTTTAGTCGATGTCATAGCGATTGTCTCTTTCACTTTGATGAGTGAGATATCGTTGGCGTAAACATTCTCGTCGTACGCCTCGTGATTGAACAGCTTCTCGAGGGTGTATTTGGGGGCCTTAGGGTCGGCCCATTTGATGGTTCCGACCACTGCTTTCATCTTTGGGAATGAATTGGTGACACTTCAATCGTAACGCAAAACATTAGTTATAGCAATAGCTGTTAACAACTCTCTATTCATACCCTTGGAAACAGTGGGCGGCAGACAATAGCCACCTCTCGTTGATGATAGAGCCGCCGCAGAAGTGGATCATACCATCGCCTTTTGGCCTCTGGAACGACACAATCCACGGGAACTCCGCTTCGGCCGCCTTCTCTCCGCCCACAATATTGCCGCTCTTCTTGCGAGTGATGCCACACGTCTTCATATTGACCGCATCCCCGTCGCCACCTTTGGACGCTTGAAGTAGGCTATCGTCTTCATCCTCTTCTTCGCCTTCCACTTCTTCGGCACTTGATTTGAGCGGTTTATCGGTTTCAGCCGTCGTTTCGGAAGGCGTTTCGGACGTCGTTTCGGACGTTTTCTGTATTACGACAGCTCTGTTCCCGACGACACGGCATATACTCGGTCTCGCATTCGTTGATGTCTTCGCACTCTCGCGACCATCGGTTGCGTCTGAATCCCGGCAAACAGTTGTCGTCTTCGCTGTTGGCCGACACCATTGGCATACAGTTATACGTGCCGTCGGTGTTGACACAGTTATGAGTGGCCAAATTGCACGTGTGCTGACCTATACGGCACTCATCGATATCCTCGCACTGATACGTTAACTTTGAAAACCTATAGCCAGTCTTGCATTGCGTCGGATCTGTTATGAGTTGCCTCGTTGTGGTCTCCGATGAATCCAAGTCTGGGATTTGTTCGCAATAATAGCCGCCAACGGAGTTAATGCACGATTCGAGCGGCTCTTGACACCCATTCTGACTCCTGTCCAGACACTCGTTAATGTCCTGACAGTCTCGGTCTCCATTCGGGCCCCGTTTGAAACCGGGCGGACACGTGTCGCCCAACAGAATGCACTGAAACGATCCCAATTGGTTCTTACATAAGTGTGTCAATCGATTACAATTGTCTGAATTCACGAAACACTCGTCAATGTCTGCAATCAANTTACATAAGTGTGTCAATCGATTACAATTGTCTGAATTCACGAAACACTCGTCAATGTCTGCAATCAAATGAAAGGGTGAGAAAGTGTTTCAAACTTTTTTGTTTGTTTTTCCTTTGATTATATCAACAATTTATTGTAAACAAAATAATTTTTTATAAGATTAGAAAAACTCTCACTAAAACTGATTGATTAAATTGTTTACAAACCGCTGCATCTCTTGTGCCTATTATTCCACTTATAGCCATCAGGACAGGGATGGCTCGTATCTCTGGACTCGTGTCTCTCATTCTTGCGACACTCAAAGCCGCCGACATTATTAACGCACTCTTCTGTCTTGACATCGCATGTGTGGGTCTTTTCATCGCATTCGTCGACATCAATACAATCCCTGCCATCGGTCGCCAACTGATAGCCTTTGAAACACGAGCACCGGACGGGTCCCACATCGGCCCCGGGATCGTAACAGTTATGGGCACAGGGAGAGTGATTTGTGTCACATATGCTCGTTGAGGCCCCTGTTTAGCAAATAAGAGTTTATGAATTAATTGATATTAAAAATAATTTATTTATATATCTCACCACTTCTTCGCGTACTAATGAGTGAATTAAAGGCATCGAGTTTAGGGTTAGCGCAACACTCATAGTAGACATCCTCGTAGGGGTATCCTAACCCAAAAGTACCATGGGCGTTAAACGTACATGGAAAGTGATCACGACTGGCCATTAGACCCAAATGACATGACAGGCAACAGTCTTTGACGGTTTCGTTGGCGGCATTCGTGACAATCGCTGTATTAATTGCGGAACAGTTTTCATGTCTCTTAGCGAAGGCCTTTCCCTCTTCGCAATTACGGCTTCGATGCTCTTTCAGACAACAGATCTGCACAACGAGTTCGCATTGTTTCCTATACTCAGTGTTTGTGATCAATCTGTCAAACGTTGTGTTACCGAAAACACAACCGCCGGTCGGCATCTGTTTGGCCCGATTTGTGCCCAAATCGCAGCACTTTTCGAGTATGAATTCGTAATCTAATTGAAAGATTAATCATTTACTTAACAGAAGTTTATAAAACTCAAACAATACCATCATATCTGTTGACTCCAAGAGTAATAGTAATACCGAAAGTTACAAATACTAATAAATAGCAATTAATATACATTATTGAAAAGTTTCATTTAACTCACAATTCTTTAAGTAAACTAAAAGTTATTTCTTATAATCAGTGGTTTTTGTTTACATTTAGGAGAAAGCATTTGATTTAAAAAACCAAATCATATGTAATGGTACTAATTATATGGCAAATAATGATTACACAAACATTTAATTCTAAGAGTTGTTTCTTTGATTTGCTTATCATTTAACAAACAAAACGTTAGTTTCAGATAAATTTTCTCAAATAATATTTTTCAGTATTTCTGTCCATTTTTGCTTCATTTCTATCCATTTTTGGCTTATCTTTTGAATTAATAAGTTTATTGAAAGATAAATGAATCCATTTTAAGGTCGATTTGATTTATTGATTTAATTTTGGTTTATTTTCATTGAGAAGTCATATTTACAAATAAATTGTAAATCTTATAAACTAAATAATTGTTATTCAAAAAATGTTTACATGAAATAATTAAATGAACCTTAATTACGTCAAATTTTTACATCATTATCTTTTTTAAAAATTAATTTAAAGTATTATTTATTCACATTTCACGACAATTAAAAAATATAATTTGCATTTAAAAATTACATTAATTAACAATTAAATGAATGAATAATTGATTTATTTATTCAGCTTAAACTCATACAATATATTTATTGCATTTAGAAAAACATATTTTCAATCAATTCTTGTGATATCAATCCTATTGTCAGGTCTTTATTGTATGCATTCATTGTCAGTGAAAATGTTTGTCAAAAATATAATAATCGTTACATTTGTAATACTTTTTATTAAATTCATTGATTCAAAGCCAGTGCCTAAAAGTGATTTGCGTAAAACAATCCGATGTTACAGTCCGTCCAAACCCGAGGGTATGCCTCAAGATGTCTACGAGAAGTACAAGATCTCGAGCCGATACCTCTCGGATCAGGACAGACGCACCTTCTGGCAAAAGTTTGCCAAATGGTGGCAAAATGTCTTCGGTTTGTTCCCATACATTCATTTTCTTAATATTTACGTAACAATAATTATAAAACATAACTTTGATTTTAAAATTTGTATTTTAAGCCCAAATCGGAAATTTCTTTAAAAAAGTGGGAAAGTTTTTCAAAACCCTATTTACAAATCCAAAAAATAGAAAACATTCAGAGACCCCGACCACAACTCCTGCCCCTCCGACACCATCTCATCAACGGCTCAACAAAGATAACAAATTGATTTGTGTTGAATATGACGAGACAAATGGTGTCAAAAGAACTACAAGAATATATGAAATCGATATGACTTCCACTGTAAAGCCAATCAATGAATTGATTACAACACTCTCTCCCTCTCCAAAGACCACAACTAAAGCGACGACACTTTTATTGAAGGAAAACGATAACAAAGTGGTGACGAGTGGATCTGTTTACTCGAGTGACAGCACACCCTTTGATCCGAGCTCTGGACCGAAGGACAAGAATCAGATGATGCCTGATATGGATCAGAAAGCGAGGACTAATTTGAATATAAAAATGGAGATTAAAAATAACCATGATGATGATGATAATACCTATGTTAAAACTGATTAACTAACAATATTATAATTATTTACATTCTATAAATAATTATATAATTTTTATTTATTTGGGAATTAATGGAAATTTAATATTTAGTATGAATTTTCAAAATTCAATCAAAAGAAATATTTTATAATATTTACTATAAATTTAATTAATAAAAAATAAATAAGTTTTACAAAATTATAGTATTAATCTAATTCTTTGTGATGGTTTTGTGGATCCAATCAGCATAGAGAGCGACATTAGTGTATATACCAGGGTGGTCTTCTAGACTACATCCCTGACCAAACGATACTAAACCAAATTGATACTCTTTTCTATGTATAGTTAGAAATAAATACAACAAAAATAAAACACAATAATATCCAAAAGTAAACAAACCCATCAATCTTTGAAGAGAGAGGTCCACCAGAATCGCCCTATAATTGAATTGAATTTCAATAAATAATTATAATGCAAGCAAAGTATGCGCACACCTGACAGGCGTCTTTACCGGGAGTCGCGTAACACATCATTTGTTTAGTAAATTTGCCGACAAATTTGTCATAGATTTTGTTACATTCGTTTGTATCGTATTTGTCGAGAACCACTTTCATG